TCGAAAATTCTCTAGCTTCAAGAAGATCCTTAAACATGACCATTTTACTTTTAGTAGATATCGTCCAGATTTATTTTTTCCCTTCAGAATTGCAACACTTATTAAGAGGTTTCAAGTTACATAACATTAAAAATATTTGATCTTTTTATTTAAAATTTTGTACCTGGTTATTTTCAGGGGTTACAAATCCAATGAAATGGTCAGAAATATAAAAAATCATTATTAAGTATCTGTATTGATCTATATAAATAAATTTAGACAATTTTTTTCTTTACCTGATTTTGATGCTCATGATACCACTATATGGTCTTAAAGATATCAAAAAAAAATTTACACATTCTATATTCTTTTGATCTTTCAGAAACCATAAGGATTATCTGAATGTATATGGATTTCCATATATGGATAATGGGGTACAGTCCCCACTTTTTTGTAGCGGATTATTAGAATAATTTTTCATTACCTTCCAGACTAAATGGAATTCTGAAACTTTTGACATTTCTAGTTCCAATAAACATGCATGTTAAAATTGCTTCTAGGGCCCAAAACACCTGGGAAAGGAGCTAGGTTTTTTGCCCCACTTTTTTGTAGTAGAATCTTGCAATAGATTTTTACTACTTTTCAGACAAACTGTTGTGGAGCTCTAAATATTTCAGCATTTGTGTAGTCCTAATAAACTTGTGTTAAAATTGTTTCTAGGGCAGACAAGCAGAGGGTTAATCAGGCCGAGGCACCAGGGATCATGTTCCATTTTTCTCAAAAATAATTTTTTTTTCAACTTTAACAAAATAAAGATAACTTATAAAGATTGCCTTCAAAATTTTTTTGATTTATACTATTTCTATTTGGTTTTTGGTCATACTATATTTAATGGTCTTTTTTAAAAATGTTATAAAAAAGTTCATATGTTTATAAGAACTTTGATTTGCAAATATACAGATTGAAAATAATCATCCATCTAAAATAATTTTAACAGAATTTTACATTTAATAATTTTAAACTTTTTGAATTGAAAAAAATGGATACTTTTTAATGCTAAATTGTTAACAGCAAGTTGTTTAATTAACTAAAATCCAACAGTAAATAAAAGCATCCTGCCATAACATTACATCAATAAAAAAATTATCATGTTTACAAATCATTATTTTAATTAATATTTGGTAATTCTAAAATGTCGAATTTGGTAATTCTAAAAGATCTAATTGTTTTATTAAATAAGAACAATTAATAGTAACAAAAAAATATCCTGTCATTACGTAGTATAGTAGAAATTTATTACATACTTTAAATTCAGTTGTTTTAATTATATTAGTTACTATTGTTTTCTCATTAATATATTCTTTTCATTATCATGGTAAACATTACCATGGTGTTTAAGTTGATTTAATTATATTAGTTACTATTGTTTTCTCATTTTTATATTCTTTTCATTATCATGGTAACCATTGCCATGGTGTTTAAGTTGGTTTAATTATATTAGTTACTATTGTTTTCTCATTTTTAACTTCATCTGAAATGCAACTTAGTTGTTAGTTTTACATATAGAATGGATTTGTGTGATTTTGAAAATAATACTTGTCATAAACTAGTTTATTGTAAAAAGACTGATTTAAAGAGATCGATTGTTACAGAGAAGATGCTTGAGAAGAATTTTGAGATCTGAAATTTAATAGATCATCATGATCATGAAAGATTTAAAAAGTAGAACAATTCCTGGAACTAGGAGCTATTTTCAATTTAACCCAAAATCGATAGACACTGTTAATTTTAGAGGAACAAGTGAAAATCTTATTATGACAGGCATTTTTCTTTTTATGGTTTTTAAAGTTTTCAAACTAATCAGAAAACTAACATACATTGAAATTTGGTGAGTTTATTTATTTCGCTTAAATTTGATATGTTTCATTAGATTGGTATGATAAATGAAATTTATATCTTTTTATGATAATTGCAGATTGTTAAAATTTTGTCATCTGTTAAAAATATTATGGCAACTTTATGCACCCAAACACCCCTTTTAACAAACTTATCTGGCAATCTAGAGCAAATGAGTGTTGGGTTTTAATTACCAACACAATTTGTATTATTGATGCACATGTAACAACTTAATTTACTCTTTATTTTTTTGTATTTTATTTTGTGAATAATTAAATAAAAAATGTTTTTAGAAAATGTGTTTTTTTTAATTTGTTAAAATCAGATTATTTTTTTTTAGAGAAAATAGGTGAATCATGGTACCTGGTGCCCCGGCCCCACGGACCCTCTGGTAGTCTACCCTGGAAACAATTTTAATACAAGTTTATCAGGATTTCACGATTAGTAAAATTTTAAGAGCTCCAGTCTGGAGCTCATAAAATTCAATCATCTAGATGGAATTGAAAAATCTATTGCAAGATTCTGTCACCAAAAAGTAGGGTGTATGACCCAGTCTCCTCGATTTGGTGTTTTGGGGCCTAGAAACAGTTTTAACATGCATGTTTATCAGCACTTAAGCTCTAACTAGTCTGGAAGGTAGAGAAAAATCGATAGCAATATTCTGCTACAAAGAAGTGGGGATTATACTCTGTTCTCAATATATAGAAATCCATAAACTTGCAGATATAAAATCCTTATGTTTCCTGAAAGATCAATGAATATAGAATAATGTGTAAATTTTGTTTTTGTTTATATTTTTAAGCCCACATGGGTTTCTTGAGCATTAAAATCAGTTATATAAAAAATTACCTAAATTCAGTTAAATAGATCAATACAGGTACTAAATAATAGTTTTTTACATTTCTGGTCATTACATTGGACTATTCACCCCTAAAAAGATCCAATATTTTTAATGTGACTTAAAACCTAAACCTAAATAAACATTGCAATTATGCGGGGCCAAGAGGGGCTTGGTCAAATCTCCATAAAGTAAAATGGTCTTAATTCAGGATCTTCTTGGAACCAAAGGCTAAAATTTTCTAGGTATTTTTATTTTACTAAGTTCTCTTAACTGTACAAAAATCAACAAAATCTGAGAACTATGGTGACATGACCTTGGTCAATTGACTTGGAGTCACCCTTTGTCAATTTAAATATATCAGAAATGTGCTGAAAACACTATTCTAAACTAAAATAGGAGGAAAATAAAATTAAAAAAAAAATGTTTAGTCATTACTTACAAAAATGAAGATGTAAGAACTAAAGCAAAACTCAAAACTCCAGCTGGAAGTGAAAATTTTACGTTTATTTATATTTGTGAAATTTTTAGTTTATTTATATGAAAATTTTACGTTTATTTTATTTTAATATATTATATTATTTGCATTTCAAATAAATAAATGTTAATCTTAAAACTTTTTATATAAAGTTACGCTTTTAAACACTTTTAAATGTTAATAAATGACTTTTTATGACTGCTTATTGAATAAAAAAATTAATAACAACAACAACAATATATTTACCAGAAATATAGATATAATTAATAGGCTTCTTTTGTGTAAATTAAAATTGTATAATACTTTATATACTGGATTATTCCTTCTCTTATAACAGAGCTAAATTGTGAAGAGCAACAATAGAGAAATAGAATTAAAAGTGAAAAAGATATTTTTTTGATAGGTTTTTTTTATCCACAGACATTTTGCTATAGATAAATTTTGACTCCAAGTTTCAAAGCTGTGTTTTAGATAAAATAACAATACTATTGTTTAACTTATTTGAGACATAATTATAATGGTTGATCCACCTCTTCTAAGTAATTTACAAATTGCTCACAAGAAAGAATTAGTTTTCCTAATGTTTTCAGTCAATTTAGTTATGTAAATGATGTTGATTAGTTTTTTTGAAATCTAAATTGTATATCACAAATCAGTTTATTTGTGATATACAGTAAGTTATGAAATAGCTGTTAAAAATATTGCAGATATGGATGGGATTTGCTATTGTTATATTTATTGTTATTGTTGTGGGTAAGTATTTGGGTTAGAGCTAGGTTCAATATTTACTATATTTAAGATACCTTTCCGTGTTGCTTTTATATTCTTAATAATTTCTTTAAAATAGCTGTTTTTTTCTTTACTTAAGTTCTGTTGTTGAAATTTTTATATTCAGTATGGTACACATTTTTATTTAATTCATTTTTAGACTTTTTATTTTTCATATTACAGGGCTCAAATTTTATGTATATATTTTTCACCAGTTATTCTTAAATAATTTTTTTTAAAAAGTTTAAAAAACAAATCAGTTTTTGTTAATTTTTTTGTGGTTGGCGTTCTACTTTTATTTTTAACATTTTCAAAACTTAATGACTAGAAATCTTTACACTCTGTAATCACTCAAAATAAGTTTTATGTAGTGTAAAATATATCTTTTGCTTACTTTGCTGGAAAACTTGAAAAATTATTTTTTCACTAAAGATAAAACTTCTAAACTCAGGTTTTGTTAGAAATTAAAAAAAAAAATTTAAACTAAGTAATAAAGCTTTTAAAGTTTGAAAGATTTTCTGAAGATAAATCAAATAATTGATTGAATAAAAGTTATAGATGATTTAAGAACTTTAAAAATTTTATTCATAATTTAATAATTAAAATTTTAAAACTTTCAAAAAGGTTGTAAGCTTAAAATGACAATAGTGATTTATCTCAAGTTTAAACTTAAATGTAAGTTTTATGTGTTTTAGGTTATTAATAAAAATAATTTTATGTTTGTCACCATAGTGATGAAAAAAAGACTGATTAGAAATGATAAAGTTGTAAAAATAAAAACTAATCTAATAATTAAAAACGGTTTAAGATCAATTGTATCCAATAATTATAATATATAATATTTACCAATTTAAAATTTTGTCTAACATCTTGAGAAAAAATTTTTGAATCATACTTATATTGAAGATAAAATAAAAAATTAAGTATTTAAAAATCAACTTATTTTTAACTTTATATGCAAAAGTCTTTTATTTGCATGTTTTAGTTGTGTTTGTAAATTTTTTTTTTTAATATTAATTTTTTTTTTTATATTTTTAATAGTTGTATTAACAAGTCTAAAGCAAATGTGCTGTGTTGATTTTGTTAAGTATCTGGAAACAGTTGATTCTGAGAGTGTTACTCCGGATTGTTTTGATGAATGTCTTAAGTTAGCAGTTAAAAACCACTACTTTGCTCTAATAGGAGTAATAATGCTTAGAAAACCTAGTAATGCAAAAGACTGTTTGGATGATGCACTAACAATGTTAAATGGTTATAAAATTGATGGAATAAAAGCACCAGATTGTTCTAAAACCACCCTTGTATTGCTATTATGTTATGCTGTTGAAAAACACCTTAATGGTGTTATTAAAGCAATTTGTGAGAACAACTTTTACAAGAAACAATGGTTGTTAGAAGGCGACATCTCAATTCGGTTTCACATATTGGAGCATTTAAAGTATTTTTATTCATTTGCAAGTGTAATTTTTTATTAATTTATTCAGGTTAATTTTTTTATTTTTTATTTTTCCCTTTTTTTTCCTCTTAACATCTTGAAGGTTAGGGTTTTACAATATGTTAATTTTTGTACTACAAAAGAACTCTTAAGATCAGTGCTCATTATGAACAAAAGTTGAATGCTCTATCAATTCACGACTAGCATACGCTATGTATAGAAATATAAATTAAAATTTCATTGTCAATATTATTATGGATCGTCTTTAAATTATGCAATGCTAAAATTAACTAGTTAACAAAACAAAAAATTTAAGTTTTTCTTTGAGTCTTTAATTAAAGCAAAAATTAAAATAAAATTTACATTGAACATTTCACACTAATAAATAAAAAGTTTCTTATTGAACTTTAATTTTGATTTGATTAATTCTGTTTTTACATCAAACAGAAATTATTATTTAGAAAAAAATTAGATCATAAAAAATGTTAATTCTAATCAAAATTTAGTACCACATAAGTATTTTAAAAATAATACAACAATAGCATAATTATTTACACTAGCAGTAAGCAACCCGTAATACGCGTTGTTAGTAAATAAAATTAAAAAAAAACCGCGTATAGAAAAGCCTAGAAACTATTTTAAAATAGAAAAGCCTAGAAAATGACGTAACTCGACAAATAATAATAATATTAAATTAGCGTATTCATATTATCAGATAATTAGATGAAACAAAAATGGCGACAAATTTATCATATAAAGTTTATCTTACAAAATTGGCATTACAACAACAAAAACTGTGTTCTGTACTTTTTGTGTTAGTCATATTCAGTTAGACTTGATAAATAAAATTTAAAAATAATTCAAGAGTATATTTAGGTAAATAAATTAGTTGTTTTAGGGTAATTCCATATAAAATCATCAAAAAAAAAATTTTCTTCACCCTTATGTCTCAGAATTTGTTAATTTTTACCTCACTTGCAATCCATATTAAAAAAATAATAACTGAGAAAATTTTAGTTAAAAAAACACATGAGTTACAGAGATATCATCAGTTGAAATAATGCTGACTCAGCATTTTAGTGATTATCTGAAGCGACTACAAAGCAACTTTGACATAGAGTATCTTCATAATGGCTCGAAGAAATTTCCTATAGTTTGGTACCCCATTAGACTTTTACTTGAGGAATCCAAAAAAAGACACCCTCAAGACTTGATTGTCTCAGGAAATGCCTCATTCAATTTTTTTTTGAATTATTGACTTGTAAATTCATGATTTTTGGAAGTAAAATGAAGACTGCGACCCAAATTCCCGAGTAAAAAGTTTTATTGTATATCATTATTTTATCTACTGAAAAAAATTATTTCTCACTAATACTTGATCAAAATTTGCGTTTTAAAATTGTCTTTTTAGAAAAATTCAAATTTTGTAACAAAAGCAATTGAAATATTTTTTAAATCATTTACTTGAATAAAACATCAAATAGTGTTAATTATTGACTAGTTTAGGACATTTATAGTCATGGGCTAAAGGAGGGCCAGTCTCTAAATAACTCTACCCCCCTTCCCCCCAGTCTTTTTGGGTTGTTTTTTTTTTGTTTTGATTTTTTTTATACTTAAAATGAATTAAAAACATTTTTTTTTTAGTTTAAGTTTGAGAAACAATTTATTTTCATTATTTCAAATCAATAATTACTTACCTCTTATTTCAAAGTAAGCACTTAAAACTGAGATTTTTTCATGATTTCAAAAATCATTAATTTTAAGACCAAAGATATTGAAATGTTTTTTTAAACATTTTAACAATCAATATCTTGGTATTATTTATTAGTTTAAGACTAATATAGTCATTGATATAATAAGGTGGACAGTAGGATTTATTTAACCCCCCCCCCCCCTTTCCTTCCATCCAAGGATTTGAAAAAAAAGAAAAAAAGAAAGACAAATTCTAAATGCAAAATAGGTAAATAAAATTACAACAAAATTATTTTAAATGTATTTAATTTGTTTTTTGTAACCAAAAAACAAATTAAATACATTTAAAATAACTTTATTCAAAGATGTTTTTGTATGTTCAGACTAAACACTAGCAATTAGAGTTTAATCATCTCCTTAAGCATAGATAAACTATGCTTAAGGAGATGATTAAACTCTAATTGCTAGTGTTTAGTCTGAACATACAAAAACATCTTTGAATCATCTCCTTAAGCATAGGAATGAATACAATAAAGCTTTAAACATTAATAAATTAAACTAAATTTTCTATTAATTATAATTAATCTATTTTGTTTTGTCATCTGCAGTGATAGGGTTCGTTGTGTTGATGTTACAAGGACCAAAAAAGGAAGATTCAAACTAGTACCCATTTGTTAGCTAGAAAAAGGCAATTGCAGCATGTGAAGTTACAAAATCTACAGGGCAGTCAACAAAAATTAATAATTTTAATGAGCAACCACCAAGTTCAATCTTCTCAAATACATCAAAAACATCAAGCTTTAAGAAAAACAGATATTATCAATGACGTACAAGTTGTTCCAACTGAGTTGGAGGGAAAAAACAACTGGATCAGCAAGAAGAAAAAAATCAAATAAAAAAAACTCAACAAAGATGACCACAGTTTTGTCAACAACCATACCAACAACATAACCACTTACAATTTTATCAACAACAACATCAACTGTACCAACAACAATCCCAGGAACAATTCTATCAATTTTATGTTCAAAGTAACAAAATCACTACTAACAAAATAATGAAACCATACTCTCCTCAGAAACTCCCACAAGTAAACATTTTAAACCAAACATCTTCAAAATTGACTAAAATAACATTAAACTACAACTTATTCAAATGTAATAAAGATCGTGGCAGGGTGTGGGAGTAGCTGAAATGATATATCTGCATACAAAATTGATAACAAAGAAGAAAGAAAACAATTATGTGGTACTACCATAGACCAAATATGGTGTCAGTTTAAAATAGGATCTATATTTGTGTTGGTTGAGTGTATTTATAGACCATCAAGTAACAACTTACAAGATGCAAAAGAAATAAATAAATCGATCATATACGCAAAATCTTTATTTGACAGAGGACACTGTGATGCCTTATTTATAACAGAAGATTTAATTATCCAAATCTAAACTGGTTTTCTGAAATACAAATCATTTCAAAGATAAATTGCATGGAGAATAATTTTTTAGACACAATAAACAAACAATCTCTAGTAAAAAAGGTAAGTACACCAATATATCAGAAATCCAATATGGAATCATCTAGCTTATTAATTTAATTTTAATTGAAAACAAGCACAGAATTGAATACAGATTGAATAAGGATATATCTTAAACAAATTGGCCTAATATTGTTTGATAATAAAAATATTGAAGTATTATAGTTTGTTTTCAGTTAAATATGAAAAATGGTGTATCAAGCATATAAAAAATATGGAAAAAAAAAAGTCAAATAAACAAAAAACATAAATGGATTAATTATGAAGTAAAGCAAATTATTACAAAAAAAAAAAATTATGGCATTGCAATAACTCTTTAGGATGGACATCTAAATCATTAATTAAAAAATAAAAGGTTATATGCAGCTCTGTTAAAAAATAATATAAAAAATGTGTTCAGAAAAATGAAATGGATTTGCAGGGTTCCCACTACTCCTTAAAAACCGTAAATATCCTTTAAAAAAAAAAACCTCTTTAAATGTCCTTAAATAACCTTAAATTTATTTTTAAAAAAAATTTATATATATATCTAAAGTAATATATTAATTTATAATAATATTTCTGTTTATATTTAAAATTTATTGAAAAAAATATTCTGTTTTTAATATAATCATTTTCTCCTTAATCCTCCTTATTTTTTCTTTCAAAGAATTGTTGTTCGCGACCAAATCTCCTTGAATATTAGGAAAATATATCCTTAAATCTCCTTAAAATCCTTACTTTTAGCCTCAGTTTTAATAGTAGGAACCCTGATTTGGCAAACAATAAAAATAATCCTAAACGTCTTTATTCATATATAAGCAAAAAACAAGCAATTAAATCTAACAAAATAGATGCATTATACAATCAAAATGGTACTTCAACAATGGGCAAGGATAAAGCTAGCACACTGAACAAACAATTCCAATCAGTTTTTTATACAAGAAGATGACTTACCCTTCTTTGTATCTCAATTGGTTATTAAACCAAAAGAAAACTTAAGTTTCACAATCAATGATGTGAAATCCCATTTGACAAAATTTAATACTTTCAAATTGTTTGGTGAAGTCAAAATCAGCCTTTATGTTTTAAAAATATGCGCAGAATCATATTCTTTGCACATTTTTAACTAATTTACTAATTTTACAGCTCTCTTATAATAGTGGATGTATTCCAAATGCTTGAACTAAAGTGAATGTTAGCCTTATTTTTTAAAAAGGTAGTAAACTAGAACTATTCAATTACAGACCTTGATCACATTGGTTCACTGTAAAGTCATGGAACATATTATATGGCAACACATAAACAATCATCTAGCAACAAATAATTTAATCACTAAGGAACAGCATGGTTTTATCCCAAAAAAATCTTGTAAAACCAATCTACTTGAATGCACAAGTTTGGCAACAAAATGTGTTGCTAGTAAAATTAGTGTTGATATGATATATTTAGACTTTTCTAAAGCTTTTGATAAAGTGCCATACCAACGATTATTGCTTAAAATCAATGTATAATTTATATAACACTTGCTAATTTGGATTGAGGTTCTTCTAATGAATAAGAGGCAAAGGGTACTTATGGATCATGATGTGTTGGGTTGGGTGAATGTAACAAGTGGTGTACCACAGGGATCTGTTCTCGGACCGACTCTATTTGTATTATACATAAACGAGTTAACAAGAGAGAACTCAAAACTAGAAGTTTTGTTTATGCTGATGATACTAAGTTAATAAAACCCATAAAACCAAACACACATTTAAAGGGTTTGCTGGAACTTCAGGATAGTATTGACAAAATTTCAATTTTCACTGCAATTTGCATCATAAATCGTAAGGTAAGTTTTTTGCACTTTTTTAAGGATTATTTTATGAAACTATTTTTTTGTGTATGAAACCAATTGTTGATCTATGGGATCTGCACCTTCCAGTTGAACGTTGTTGTCTTTTACCACCTTAATGTAAAATTTTCATTACAACATTCTCCATTGTAGGCAAATGGCAAGTGGAGAGCATGTATACAACTTTCTGGTATAGGTTTAATGTTCTGATGTCCATTTGAGTTGTTCACCTCAATATTTACAAGCTCTATATTAAGAAGCTACTATTTTGAAACTACCATTCACAACTCACCCATTTTAAAACTACTATTTACAAGCCACCATTTCAAAAATATTGTTTAAAAGCTAACAAGAGGTTGTTGGTATTTACATAATATGTCACTTGGACTTTTTAAAATTTTTGTTCACAATGTACTAAGAACAAGTAATAGTTTAACAATCTCTTTTTCATTGTTTTGTACGTTTTTTTTTGGCTTTGTAAGTTTTTGAACACCTTTAGTTTCTATAAACTAAAGTTGTTCAAACATCACTTACTTTTCCAGGTATTCTTCAAGCATGATTAGCACACATTTCACAACCACCTTGGCTATTTTTACTTATTATATTCCATTCAATTCACATCCTATTTTATACTGTTACTACTATCTTCCTCATGTCTCATCCTCTATCACTTCAAGTTTTAAAACAATGTCAATCACCAATAGAATTACCAATTACAAATAGAATAAGTTCTACAAAATAATTTAGCCAGAGGCTTGTCTTATTTTCATTTCCTTTCAAATTGATTTTTGCTCTTGTACTTACTTTCTGAATCACTAAATTCTGTATCTCTAAAGTCAACTAAAAGTAATATCTAAAATCTCATTAAAATATTTATAACAATTTTTTTTGATTGACCACTTTTCACATTGCACCTTGTTAAGGCTTATATATGTTGTTGTTGCACCTTACACCATGCTAAGATTTATATATATCGTTATTGCACCTTGCACTTCGCTAAGATTTTTTGTTTCAGCACAAATTTGAAAACATGTTGAATTTTTATAAATCATATTATTTGTGCTCAACAGTATCCTTTTATATAATATATTCGTTTGATACCGATATTTGCAGTGAATATATTTTAAATAATGAAACCTTTTCTAAAACATGAATAATTGTGTCCAAGATACAAATTTAACTATTTTTTAATAAAAATTAGTCAAATTTTTCAAAGTTATTATAAGGTCAAAAAAAAAAGTTACTTTATAGAAATAAGACAAAAATCCTTTTTTTAAATTTTTTTATTGTACAAACTATAAATATGAGTACAAACTATAAATACTTGAGCAGCCGTAGCACAGTGGTTAGTGTGCTAGCCTAGACGCTAGAGATCCTTCAACACCAAGAATATGTCTGGTCAGACATATTCTTGGGCTGTAATGCAGGCTGATGTGTCCTTTTTCAGGTTTACCTAAATCAGATTTCCCCCTCATCTTAAACCATACATGTGACCAAGTACAGCTAATAAACTTAGCTATTTCTTTCAATGATTGACTCTCTTTGGGGATTAGAAAGTAGCCTAGTAAGATATAAATTGCTTTGCTGTTCCTTCTTGCATGAGAACATGGCAATTTAGTTGGTAGCTCCAGTTCAGGTAAAATATTCTAATCCAAAAAATGCCTGAAGGCAATGCATAACCCGAAGAAAACAATACATACACAATATGGTTATATAATTAATATCTCATTGATGTTGTAAAAGAAAAAGTTTAATGAAAAAAACCTGGCCACTAGTCTATAATCATCTCTCCAAGTTTTAACAGTAGGAGGAGGATGTGGCGTTTTATGCAGGACATTATATGATTCTTTTAATTGTAGTTACTTGTCTTTTAGTTTCTTTTTAAACTTAAAATCATTTAGAGCAGGCAATTTTGATGGTGTTGGTATATAGAAAACTACCATTTTTTTAAAACAAAGTCTAAAATGTGAGCATTACACCCATAATATGGAACATGTCTGTTAGTTAACTCAGTTTGTAAAATACCTATTATTCCACCAGAACCATAATAAACTACACCTAAAACAAAATGTAATTATTTATTGCTTCATACATATTTAAAAATAAATAAATATATATATATATATATATATATATATATATATATATATATATATATATATATATATATATATATATAAACAATATTAATTTAACGAACGGGTATTGACAGAGCAGGTGTCACATATGATAAGGGATCTTTTATCAACAAGATTATACCCTAACAACATTTCCTTTATAGCTGCTAAATTTTTAGAAGTTCCACTAGTATGTAGTGTTTTGAGGCTAATATACCTCTGACTGAATGGCAATGACCATATGTTCCACTTTCTTAATGCCACAGCTTTCCTTTCAAAATGTAAGATAAAGAATGTTTTAATTGAAAAAGCTGCCTTAAGTATAAAAAGAGTTATGACTTGCAACCTTTTACCAGCTCTAAAAATAGTAGATTGATGTGGAGTGGGCATATCATGAAAATAACTTAATGAGTGAGTTATTCTAGCTCCATAGTGGGCAGAGATTCCAGCTTCTGCACACATTACAGCATTTGACATTGCATTAAATTAAAAACAAAGTAAATATATTTACACAAAAAATTTTTTTGAGAAGTATTTTTACTTACTTTTGATTAAAGTTTACTTTTGGGTGGTTTAAACGAAGGCTCAAAACCATCAGAGTCATCATCATTTTGAGAGCTTAATTCTGTATATAATTGCTCTAGATAATCAAGATTTAAGTTTTTTAGTATCAATTGCCTATTAGCAGGATACTTAACAATTTTCTGACTGTTAGATACGCAGCTCTTTCTATCAGCTATTTTATGATTATAAAATATTTGTTCTTCGTTTTTTATACTAATTTTTTTGTCAAAAATATTAAACAGCATAAGAAAATCCATAGTTGATTTTCTCTTCAAACATGTTTTTTATTCAACCACAAATTCATTTAATTTTTTTGTGATGCCAGCTCTGGTTACTGACATTGCGCTAAATTTTATATTCACTATTACTTGTGTATATAATTAACAACTTTTGATGGTGGTGCAGGGTGTGTGTCAACTAAATGGTGATAGTAGCCAAGAATGTGTTGAACTTCTGGAATAGCCTTGAAATTAGCCAAGTTTTTCATTTGTAATATGGAGCAGCTCAGAAGCTCCTTCAAACTAGAAGATCTCTCGATTCTTTTAAGCATGGTGGTCTAGAGTTCTCTTTGAGACTCTTTGAGACTCTTTCTCTTTGAGACTCCATGAGCATTTATGCAGGGCATATTTATGGAAATATATATTTATAACTAAATTAGAAAATTAAATAAAAGTCCTTTGTTTCTACTTTAACAATGATAGTTTAGCTAAATTTATAATATAATAATTATTAACTTTGTCTAATTTAAAAACAATATAAATATTCTCTAATAAACGATAATTATACTTCAGTAATCCTGGTAAATATATATTTTTTTATTTCTATTAAGTTATTTTTTTTTTTGACCTAATAAAGTTTTAAAATTTTTAGTTGTTTTTTTATTAAATTGATCTTAGAATACATTTATTTATGTTATGGAAAAGGTTTCATGAGAAAACAAAAAATAGCAACACCGTAGTGCAAGGTCTTTAAGACTTTAAATCTATATCTACATTAATTTATATGACTAAAAAAGCATTAAAAACCAAGTAAAGAACTTGCAGTTGGTACAAAGTTTTTTATTTCTTGAGAGTGCGGAATCGGCCTTAGGTTGGGAAATTCTTTTTGTAAGCAGACCAAACACATTTTGGCCCTATTTTCATTATACAAAATAATTTTGTTTAGCATTTTTAAAATCAAATTTACTTAATTTATCGTATGATTAAAAAAAAACTGAGTAAATGAATTAAAATGTTCTGATTATTTTATGATTTTCTACTTTTGTTAGAAAAAATGAGTTTCTAAAATAATAACTGTTTTATGTCATTGTTTATCATCAAAGAAAAATCTTTTTTTAATAACCAAAGACAAAATAGTTCTATTTTTTAACTTTGAAATTTTCGAAAATTTTCATAAAAATATTAAAGCGGTCATAAAATGGTCACAACCTTTTTGGACTTTCTAGAATAGTTTTAAAAAATTTGTGAAGAACACTTCCACATATATATCTAAATTTTGGTGCAAAACTTTTCTTTTGAACTTTTTTTAACCTTAAAGATATTTAGGAAATTAAGTTTTAGCAATTAAGTTTAATGTGATTGTGGAGCAAAAACTACATCTTTGTTCTTGCTCTTACTTCATTAATTATATCTCATTTTTAGCTTCATTTTTTTTCTATTAAGTTTTATTCTATTAACATGAGATTTAATAAAATTTATTGATAACGTTACTAGTATTATTTTGTAATTTTTAAATCTATAGACTATAACCTTTAGGTTATATAACCTTTAGAATTATAATCTTTATATATATAATATAGCAATTATTTGAAATGAATTAAATTGCATTTATAAAATTGACAAAAAATGGTTTTAATAAAGTATACAAAACTGTTTATGTTTTTCTTTCTTTCGTAAGCAATGACGAAATGTTTGTTTACCCAGTGAGGATCGGATGTAATCATACGGTAAAAAATTATAAAGGTGTTGAATATATATTGAACATATTTTGTGATAAAGAAAATTATAAAGCTGATTGGAAAGGACTCTGGCTACGTTTTCTTCATGAAGATTGGTTTAAAGGTTTAACGAGCTTTAAAAATATTATCCTATCTTGTAATAAAATTAAAAGCATGCCAATTAATATTTTGAATTATCTTGGAGCTGTAGAAAAGTTAAATCTTAGTTCAAATAAATTGCAAGTGGTTCCCTTAGAACTGTTTAGGCTTCCTAATCTTCACAGTCTAAATCTTTCATCAAATCAATTGAAAGACCTTCCTAATGTCAAAGAATGGTCACCATTTTTTACAATATTAGCTCTTGAAAATAATTTATTAGAAAGTTTTCCATTGCATGTAGAAAAACTTAAATTAAAACACTTATATTTAGCAGATAATAGATTAAAAAGTGTTCCTGAAAGTATATGTAACCTGAAATGTTTAGAAACTCTTGATATTAGTCGAAATGTTGATATAAACACCTTACCACAAAGCATGGGAAAGTTATCAAAACTTATTGTACTTGGTTTGGAAGGCTTAAAGGTAACTTCTAATATAAAGCATTATAAAACTAGATTAATTTTACAAAAATTATATTTTTAAATCAATTTAAAAAAAGTTTTAATTTATTAAAAATTTATTAAAGGAGTTATGTGACTTGATAATGGATAAAAAAATTTTTAGCTACAAATCTTTCATGTAAAGTAAAAGTATATTTTTCAAAGTAAGGTATCAATAATAAATAATAATGTCACCTAACAAACAAAATTATGTGAATAAAATAAATTTTTAAACACTAATTCTTTTTTGAAAGTAAACAAATACATTAATTTAAAATCAACTTAAAAATAGTTTTCAAAATATAAATATCTTTTGTGTTTTAATTGTGTAAAGGATTCTTGGTGATTATCTACTTCCTTCATTTGCATTTATTGAAGCATTAAATGATGTGCTTAACAACAGTCAAAATGAAATTTATGATATATATCTATTTATGTATTTATGCATATTTGATATATCTGTATTATGATATATCTGTATTCACTAGTTATTTTATACACAGATTTTTTTTAGATTTTATTGCCTAAAATTTTTGCTTTTTTAACATAAAATAATTAATCATATGGGTTTATGCAATAATTTTTTATGGAGATATTTTTATAAATTATAATTTTTTTCATGGATAATTTTAGATAATTTTGCTTATTTTGAGACCAAACATGACATACATTTAAAGAATGTAATGCATAATGTTTTAAGGGTCTTAAAACATTATGCATTACATTCTTTAAATGTATGTCTTTAAATTATTTTTAAATTCAGTATTATTTTATTATATAGGACACATTTAGGTGGTGCCAGCAGACATTTTCAAAATAAGTTGTTTATCCATAAATATATAAATATATAATATATATATATATATATATATATATATATATATATATATATATATATATATATATATATATATATATATATATATATATATATATGTAATATATATATATATATATATATATATATATGTAATATATATATATATATACATATATAATATATATATATATATATATATATATATATATATATATATATATATATATATATATATATATAAAATAGGAAGAATATGAAAATTAAGTAAATCTATGTTTTTCTAAGATTCAATCCTCTGGAAAAACTTTAAGAAGTCATGAAAATTAGAAAAAAATTACTTACCTGTTCCTAATAATATGTAACAATTCACACCTCAGGCAATTTGAATTTAAACTTGTTTTTTTTTTTTGTATGAAAATCGCTCCACCCTATTTTATATATATATATATATATATATATATATATATAATTATACATATATATATATATATATATATATATATATATATATATATATATATATATATATATATATATATATATATATATATATATATTATATATATATTGCCTGAGGTGTTATATATATTGCCTGAGGTGTATAAATATTTGCCTGAGGTGTGAATTGTTACATATTATTAGGAACAGGTAAGTAATTTTTTTCTAATTTTCATGACTTCTTAAAGTTTTTCCAGAGGATTGAATCTTAGAAAAACATAGATTTACTTAATTTTCATATTCTTCCTATTTTAATATTGTTTTTGTACAATTTTAATTTCTTGGAAAAGTGACTTCTAATCGTAAAATTTATTATAGAACATAAAATAAACATTCTTTTTAACAAAAAATGACAGAAAAATTTGTTAAAAATGGTTTTAACTTTCATGACTTATGTTGCTAAGGACTTTAACTCTCATAGCAACAGCATATTTATTATATAGCTTTATTACAGCAAATATATCAAATGTAAAAAAAGATTTATACTGATGAAAAACTTAAATCAAAAACAGAAAATTTTATTAAAACTTAAATACGGTTTAGGTCTCAATCATGATCATCTATCGATCCATTCATTGTTTAATTTATGCTTGTTAGTTCTTGCTTTTGGCAATTTTTTAAAGCTTTACTTTTGTAATCGCTACTTTTCATATTTTTACATATATTTTTGAAAAATGTTAACATGAAATAAAATACGTTTCTGTTTAATTTTGTTGTTTATTAAGAAATTATGAGTAAAATTGAATGTAATAATACAAAAATTGTGAGTAGAATCGAATATTCTGCATTGACAGCAAAAGAATATAACTTTGATCAAATTTAAAATTGTTTGTTTTTAAATTTATTTTTTATTATTAATTTTTTTTTTAGATATTTTTACAAATAAAAATTAAAATAAAATATTTTGTCTAATCACTAACAGAGTTCCAAACAGCGAAACTACAGCCCCATAAAAAACTTACAAGTTCTAAGTTTTATTCAGAACTTTTTTTATTTATAAACCAAACAAAACTGAGGTTCCCATATAGTCATTAAATTCCTTTTCTTGGTTATATCAATTAGGTAACTAGGCCATATTTTCTTGGTTATATCAATTAGGTAAATAAGCCATAGCCCCATAATGATGGCAAAGACTCATTACCTAGGACAATGTAAAATTGGAACCCTGGACATAACAGAAGAAAGGAAATAAAAATAGAAAAACTGTTGAGTAAAGTATTCCTTTTAAAAATCATTTAGGCAGAATTTAAATTTATTTTAATGAATTTATAAAATTTTTTTTAGTTTCAAACCTTGGAAGTTCACACTGAGATGTAAGCTTAGCTCGGATGAATCTATCTCTTGCTTTATTTCAACAAACTGATGTAGAAGTATTTGATACAAGTTTTATAAATCATTCAACTGCTTGAGTATGGCAAGGTACTTTCTCAATATCAATTGTATCAGAAGTGGAGGAAATCATTTTTTTTTTAATTATCAATTGAGATGTGTCTTGTTAAAAGAGGCTCAGTAACATTAACATATTTCCAACTAATCATATCTATGTAATCTTCAGAATTGAAATTTAGATTTGGGACTTTAAATGGTCGAATACCCCTCTGATTATCATATGATTCTTTAATAATTCAATTTTTTAATTATAAAAATTCATAATCCAATACCAAGTTAGGTTTGACAAGTAAATATACTGTCGCACAAGTATTTAATGAAGATGAGGAAATAATGTTGAAAGACAATCTAATAAAAAGCCCTAAAATGAACTATATGTTGACATATAAACAAGCACAGGAATTAGCATTTAATTATGCAATGAAACTTTGCAAATGTCTAAATAATGTCAGTAACAAAGAATGTCACTTCAGGTTTTCGAAGTAACAAAGAATGTCACGCTCAACAAGTTTTAATGAGCACAATGTAAATCAGTTTTTTGATAACTATGAAAAAGTATTAAAAAAACATCATTTCACTCCTGATAGAATTTATAATATCGATGAAACCAACATAATGACAGTAGTACAACCACCCCATGCTATAGCATCACGTGGAACAAAACAAGTTGGACAGTGTGTATCTGCTGAACGTGGACAACGTGGATAATTACTATGTGTGGTATAGGAAATGCCTTAGGAAATTTCATTCCACCTGTCTTCATATTTTCAAGAGCGCGGTTTCATGACACCATGTTAAAAGGAAACCTCCTGGTTGTATTGGTTATGCAAACAGTCCATAAAGGGGCTGGATGACAGGGCCATTGTTACTATAGGGTGGACACAATTTCTAATGAAACTTAAATTCTCCTAATATTTGAAAGTTTCCCGATAAAATATAATTTTTGTTTGACCAACTCTTTAGAGTGATTATAAGATTAAGTAGTATAGAAAATATATTTGATTCTTGCTTTTTGAAACTTAAACTTAATGAAGTTTAATAATAAATCAATGCTCTATTTAAAAAAAAGTAAACTAATAACTAGTTTTTTCCATTTGCCAGAAAAAATTCAAATCTGCCCCATGCAAATTCAAAGCTGCCCCAGGTTGGGGCAGATTTGAACATTTTTGCGCACCTTGCTAGAACGAGAATACTGACTTTTTAACTTACAATTTATACAAATGAAGCAATTTTTTTCCTTAATTATTAGTTTAACTGTTCAGAACAAAAAAAGTTGTTAAAATAATTTTTTTTTGGATTTCTAATAAAAAGAGTAAAAAGTGTTCAAAGGTGCCCCCCTCTCCCCTAAGATTTTTAATTCATTCTAAAGAAATGATTGGATCCATACAAAGAGGTTGCTTTCATTGTTATCTCAAACCAGCTAGCAGTATATACTTTAATCACATAGTTAAAATTTTCAGATCTATTGATGGATCTAATGTTGAAAACATATAACCTTAACACTTTAATAGATTCAAAAGAAATAACTGAAAGTTTCTCACAATTTTCTAATATTTTTCCAATAGTACATTTGAATCATGTAGGATTATTTGTTTTTCCATCTAAGTGTTGTATTAGATGGTGCAGAGGAAACTCATTAGTGTGTAGTAAGCAAATAAGCCACTGTACAGAATGGCCAAAGAATAATTTTAATTGACTTATAACACTTATTTTAATTGACTTATAATTATTAGGAATTTTAATTTTGCAATGGCAGTCAATAAAGTTTTTACATTTGCAAGTACATATATCAAACAAAGTTATTTCACATTTTTTTTCAAATATTGTTGCCTTGTCCTGTAACTTATAAAGATTTTTTAAAATAGACTTCTACTCTTTGTTTATGTTTGATATCAAGCTCATAATTCGTTGATCAGATATGATTGGAATAAATGCTTTTTTTTAAACAGAAAAGATGAAGATTGTAGAGCAAGATAACAATTGACAGACGACTTAAAATATTGCAAATTATATGAATCAGGAAAGCAAGATAAAGGAAGCGAATTCCAAAGAACTGATGTTCGAGGAAAAAAACTAGACGAGTAAGAGTTTTTGGAGCACTTAGGAGCAGTAACAAAAAAAAGATGAGACTTAATTGAATGACGAGTAACACGAGAATGAACTTTAGTAGATGGCACAAGAGATGCTAGCTCTTTAGAGCAGTGCCCATTATAGTATTTGTGGAAAAAAGTAAGAGAAGCAACATTACGACGATGTGACAGAGGTTGAAGGTTGGC